CCCCAGGGGTAGGGGGAATATTACCCAAGAGGGGAGGGGTTACCCCCAGGGGGAGGGGGAATATTACCCAGAGGGGAGCGGTTACCCCAGGGGGAGGGGGAGTATTACCCAAGAGGGGAGCGGTTACCCCAGGGGGAGGGGGAATATTACCCAAGAGGGGAGCGGTTACCCCCAGGGGGAGGGGGAATATTACCCAGAGGGGAGCGGTTACCCCCAGGGGGAGGGGGAATATTACCCAGAGGGGAGCGGTTACCCCCAGGGGGAGGGGGAATATTACCCAGAGGGGAGCGGTTACCCCCAGGGGGAGGGGGAATATTACCCAGAGGGGAGCGGTTACCCCAGGGGGAATATTACCCAAGAGGGGAGGGGTTACCCCCAGGGGGAGGGGGAATATTACCCAGAGGGGAGCGGTTACCCCAGGGGGAATATTACCCAGAGGGGAGCGGTTACCCCAGGGGGAATATTACCCAAGAGGGGAGGGGTTACCCCCAGGGGGAGGGGGAATATTACCCAGAGGGGAGCGGTTACCCCAGGGTGAATATTATTCCAGGGGGGAGGGGTTACCCCCAGGGGGAGGATGAATATTACCCCACGGTGGAGGGATTACCCCCAGGGGGTATCAGTGTCAGGTGCCCAGTGCAGTGTGTTGATGGGTTAAACTTTTCTTTCCTCCGTTTCAGGTGGAGACTTTGGAAGATTTATTTGCCCGCTGTGTCACATTCAGATTTCTATTCACTTCCTGTCCCTGAGACACAACAGGAAGAGGAAATCTCTCCTTGCTGTGCCCATTGGGAATTCCCCATCATTCCTTGTTCTGGTGACAATTGTAACATTTTGGATTTCCTATCACATCCTATACAAGTGACGCCAGGACAAATACAGAGTGAATCACCCCAGAGGGGACACCGAGGGTCTAACCCCTCCCACACTCACCAATAAACCTTTTATCATTGGATGGCTGTTTGGGGCGGGGCCAGGTGCCTACATATCAACACCGCTCACCACGTCCCTCAGAGTTTACGCCCCCATCGCCTATGTCCCGCCCCTCTAGACAAGAGGCCACCTCCCCCTTCCAGGCAGGAACACGATTTCACCTTCACCGCTTCTTCCGTCTCCATAACAGCACGTGTCCGACGTCAGTGATCGCCCCGCCCCCAGCCAAATTGCCAATGCCTCAAAATTGGAGGAAGAGTGTTATAGCCCTGTGCGTAATGACGTCATCCCGCTACACACAGCCAGCCAATGAAGTATGTGAAGGATAAGTCAGCTGACACAAAGTCTCCGCTCTCTTGTGCGTTCCGATGACGGGTTTTGGAATGAGTCAGCTGACCTCCGGGTCCTCGGCCTCTCCTCCAATGATCTTCCAGGAAGTGAGCCACGTGACCGCTAGCGTACCGCCTTCCGTCTGATTGGATCGTCGACAGAGCTCTGTAACTCCGCCCTCCAGGTCCGTCTTCCAGTAAGGCTCCCGTATGGCAGTCATGTGACCTCCCTCTTTAGGCCACACGGGTCATGTGATAGGGCAGGCTCCTCCCCAGGCGCACAGTGTGGGCGGGGCCGCAGTGTCTGGCCGGGATGGTGCTGGCTCTGGTGTTGGCCGCTCTGGCCGGCTGTCTGCTGACGGTTCTGCTGTCAATGTACCGGCGGCCGGCCTGGGCACCTCCCCCATCCTCCGGGCTCCCCCAGAGGGATGATGTGGCTGGCCGGGCCGGGGCAGAGAGCTGCCACTTCCTGAATGCAATCTTCCTCTTCCTGTTCCGGGAGCTCCGGGATACGGCTGAGCTGCGCCGCTGGATGCTCCGCAAGATCCGGGTGGAGCTGGAAGAGCTGCTGCTGTCCCGTACGGCTGGACGCCTCCTGGAGGGGCTGAGCGTCCGCGAACTGAGCCTGGGGGAGGCGGTGCCTGAGGTGAGTGGGATCCGCCTACTCTCGCCAGGACCCTCCCCTGCGGAGCCCCTCCCCCCAGAACTAAGCTTTGAACTTGAGCTGGACTATTCCGGCGGTTTCCGATTGGCCATCGACGTGGAGCTGCTATTTGGGAAATCCGCCTTCCTGGCCGTCCGCCTGGCACGTCTGCAGGGCCGAGTCCGCCTGGTGCTCAGCCGCCTGCCCTTCAGCCATTGGTCGGTCTGCTTCCTGGAGGAGCCGCTCATCGACTTCCAGGTGCACAGCCAGTTCGAGGGTCGGCCCATGCCGCAGCTGACCTCCATCATCGTCACCCAACTGAAGAGGGTGATCCGCAAGAAGCATACCTTCCCCAACTACAAGATCAGGTGCGGCCGGGGCACCCATAGGAGCCGCTCATCGACTTCCAGGTGCACAGCCAGTTCGAGGGTCGGCCCATGCCGCAGCTGACCTCCATCATCGTCACCCAACTGAAGAGGGTGATCCGCAAGAAGCATACCTTCCCCAACTACAAGATCAGGTGCGGCCGGGGCACCCACCCTCCCCCCATACCTGGGCCCCTTACACCAACTACCCCCCCATTCCCCTACCCAAACTACAAGATCAGGTGCGGCCGGGGCACCCACCCTCCCCCCATACCTGGGCCCCTTACACCAACTGCCCCCCCCCTCCC